AAAGTTTAGAACCTCTTTTTCCTGCTGCCTTGACGTTTTACCCACAGGTTGTATTAAGAAGTTTTTACCAGTTTTAGAGTCTGATTTGATTCAAAACATAAACGCATCCCTTCTGTCGTGTATTTTTTTTCCCCAGGCCTTAGAAACAGCAATTATAAAACATTGTTGAAACAGAGAAGCTTGAAAAAAAAAAAAATTTACTCTGCAGAACTACATGACCATCACTAGGGGTGTAAATAATAATCGTTTTGTATCAATGCATCGATCCAACAGCCGACGATCCGATGCATCGATACGTCCGCAAGAGAATCGATTCATGTTTTTTTTCCCTCCGGTCTATTTTTATCCATTTGCTCCTGGGCGTAATTCTCCCTCCCGTGCTGCGGTGGCGCTAAATCTATTTCGCCCTCCTACCTCGCTTCCTGGTTATACTCTTACAGCAGTGTGTTGCAGTGAGCTTGACACAGACTTTTGTGATTTATGCTCAGTATTGAAGCGTGTGCTACACGCTGTGGGTGTAGATACGGCTGAGGCGGTGAGGAAGTGGGGGCGAGTTTAGTCCGACGATGGAGGGACATGAGGGCCAAAAAGAGCGGAGATCCAGGTGGAAAAAGGGTCCCAGCATTCGCGCCTTCTAGCAGGTCAAACTTCAGGAGTTGTTTTTTCCGTAATTTCGGTCATTAAAAACAGAACAAGCCGGCCTACTGTCTGCGCACTGTTTACGGTCACCTACATTTGGGAGAGGTGGAGCGGAGCGTCTGTGGAGGGGGCGGGACGTCTGGAGCCGAGGTATTGCATTGCACTCATTGCACGGATGCAAGGCCTTCAGAATCTATAACGCAGGGGCTTTATTATTTTTCAGTGAATGAGGTTTTAATAGGAATAGGTGGAGTACAACTTTTCTACTTCTGTTATTTGCTGTTGTTTCTAAAAAAAAATGCATAACGATATTACAGCTTTCATTCATTTATTTCCAATTTGAAACATTGTCTAGCCTGTAAGGTGTAAAAAAAAAAAAAGAACCAATTAATCTCAACTCAACTCAACTCAACTGTATTTATAAAGCGCTTCCAGTCAGCCAAAGCTAAAATCAAAGCGCTGTACAGGTCATTTGAGCAGATTATAAAACACAATTATCACCACAACACAGGACAAACTCAAAGATTAAAAAAAACAATAAGTATATATATATAATCGAATCGTATCGTATCGTGGTGTATTCTTGAGTATCGAAAATAATCGAATCGTTCGGTCAAGAAATCGATACTGAATCGAATCGCCATGACAAATCACAAACCTCCCCATCATCAGGAAAATCATTGAGAAAGTTGGGTTTCAACAGTCAAATGCCTTGTTAACGTCCAGCTGCTTCGATGTCTTCTAGCAAGGTTTTTGATCAAACCACAGTACAGAGATCGCCCTGATTAAGATATTCAATGAAATCTGTATAAATTCAGACTGAGAAAGAACCACTGTGCTGGTATTATTGGACCTCAGTGCAGCATTGACACTGCTGATCACTTGATTTTATCAGAACGTCTGAAAGAATGTGTCGGCCTTTCTGGTTCACTGGTTGAAATTTAACTTGAAGGACAGAGATTTTTGTCTTAGTGGGGAATTCTAAATCAGAGACCAGACAAATCACATGCGGTTCCTCAAGGATCCATTCTGGGACCCCTCCTATTCAACATTACATGCTCCCCTTAGCTCAGATTATAACAATTAGTTGGCTTGATATTTAGAACAGATCAGTGTGTGGATGCTCCATCATATTCTCCAACTGAATAAAAACAAAACAGAGATAACAATCTTCAGACTAAAGGAGTTAGCTCACAGCTTCAGCTACTACAGCTAGAAACCACCGATTATGGCCGAAATCTTGGTGTCATGACTTTAAAATCCTTCTGTTAGTCTATAAATCACTGAATGGATCAGCACCTCCATGCATAACAGATTTGCTGTCAGTCTATCAGCCTCCCAGACCACTCGGGTCTTCTAGTTCAACCCTAATCTGTACACACAGGACTATCTGAAGCAAACCTCTAGAAGACTGTAAAAGCGCTGAAAGCCTTAGTTCTATTAAGTCCAAATTAAAAACCCATTTGTTTTGAACTGCCTCTGACTGTTAACTGAGGCATTAGGTTTGTGGTTGTATTGTTTCCTTTGTTTTACTACCTGCTTTTGTCATGTTTTTTTTTTATCTTTATTTGCTTTTATCTTTCTTCTGTTTTATTGCTTAATTCATGTAAAGAACTTTGGATTTTCCTTGTACTGAATTTTGCTATTCAAATACACTGGCCTTTACTTCCCTTTTCTTATTTATCCCTTCCCTACATGCCTTTGATGTTGTAATCGTCGCAGTGGTTTCGATAATGAGGCGTTATTCATTTATTCAAACATTGCCAATTATTAGACAGGAGCATGGAGACAAGCTACCCTGGTCTGTTGCTAGGAAAGTCGAATTTTGTGATTTAAAACATTTAAAGTGATACTCTTCTCTTATATAGTAAGTAAGTAAAATATATATATATTTGAAGTTTTATAACATATAAGCGAACTTTACGCAAACCTTAGGCAAGTGATAAATAGCAGAATACAATGATTCCTGTTTGAGTCTGAGCTGGAAGCCATTTTACGCACAAAAACCTTTTATGTACATAGTTTAGCAAGTAGCAGCATGGGCGTTCTAGATAAGGGACACCAGGGGTCATAACAGGTCCCCTGTACTGAAGATTCCATATTAAACAAAATTCTAATGATAATATGCACTGGAAAAGACTGGAAGACTCATGGTTCCTTTAGATCCATTTAAGTTGTTTTCTTTACAGTTCTGTTTTAATTATTATTTTAAAATGAAGGTGATAGTGTTAGTCGTATTTGACTGTATGATCTGGTTGAACTGTAAAGTGCCTTGAGATGACATGTGTTGTGAATTTGGCGCTATATAAATAAACTGAATTGAATTGAATTGATAAACCTGATATGTTTTCATCTGCTAAATGTTATTTTGAACAAATTAAAGGGAAAAAACTCTTAATTTGTTACAGCTTAATTTATCAGTTTATCAGTTTAACAGTCCTGTCCTGAAGCCTGGGTATGAGGGTCACAGATGAAAAAAAAAACATTTCTCCTCTCTTACTGCCTTTCTCCACCTCTTAGCTAAAGTATGCCCAAACTGCTCCATTTGAACATCACCCCCATATGATGTCATAAGGGGTAGTAAACAGTCCAAAGAGGTCTGTATCTGCCCATAGGTCAAGCTACAGCCTTCATCTAATATGTTATTCTGTGCTCTCAGGCTATCTTTATGAATTCTGACTGCTTGTCATGGTTGCGGGTTGAGGGGGCACGGCCTTCAAGAGGATAGTGTGGAATGCCAAGACAACTTGTTTAGAAAATGGCTAGATAAGGAGTTTTTTGGTGGATGCTATCTGCCTAATCTTAGAGGAATTTCCCTGCACAAACAGCAAAAACATTCTCATTGTTAAAATGTTTTATTTTCAAATTTAGCATTACATGGGACCTTTAAATCAGCTCTACAGAACTACCAGTTTGGTTGATTTTGGCTCCCCCCAGTGGGCAAAAGCTGTAATATTTTGCCTGATGGAAGACAGCATTTTCCACGAGGACCAACGTGCCTCCAGTTGGATTGAACTACATTTCCGTTTTTGGTGGCAGTGTGAAAGATGAATAGCAATGAGATCATTAATATAATTGTGGTGAAACAAAGTGATATGACAAAAAGTTAAATAAAAAAAAAAAGTTTAACTGTGGGTTTTTTTTTACCATATTCCTGCAGAATAGACATCTTTTCAACATCTATTATTGGACTAAAGTGGGACAAAATCAGCCCAACCAAACCAATTTTCAACAACTATTTCTGGACTAAATCAAGACTATGATGGACCGACCAGACTTAGCCTAAAAACCAAAGTCTAAATGATGCCTGGTGTTTGGGGGGAGCCAACCCTCCTCAAAGTTGCTTAGTGCAAGTGAAAGCAATACAGACCCCCACGGGCCATACCAGCAGTGTCATTCAACTAGGTCTAAGTCAACATATAATCACAAAAGTTATGAAAATATTTTAAACTTGTCATTTTCATTTAAATAAGTCAAAAATATGTATTATTGAAATGTGTGTATTTGAATACAAAATGAGAATAAAGTTTGTCTAAGTCTCTATTCCTGAGTACATTGACCTAATATTCCAAAAAATATTTGCATTTTATCTTTTAGTAGATATGCATTTAGTGACTAATTATTATTTAACTTGCTTTTTCTCCATAGTGACTTTTTTTTTTATAAGGTAAATAAAATCAACAGGTTTAAAGTAAAAATAGAAACTTTCATCCGGAACAGCATAACATTTAGATTAATCTAAAATGACTTAGAAATGTTTCTTTAATCAGTGCAGAGCCACAAGTGGCTTTTTGGGTCTGCAGTTCCCTCGATCTATTTTAAAAGATAAACTATTTGCCTGTGTTTTGTTTCTTGTTTTTCTTTGTCCCGATGAAAACACGCTGGCCCCGCCCTGTGCCACTTAAACATGGTCTAGAACTGCCACTGAGTAACAGCCTTTAGTCAAATAGTTGCTTGTTGATTATTATTCCAAGTCTCTAAGTCTGAATATCCTTCCTCGCTATTTTGTCTCATGTCATTTTGAACCACATGAAAGAGTCTCTGCATCGCAGGAACTACAATGTTGCCTTTCTAAGAGGCGGTTACGCATGCGTAAAACGTAAAATGGTGCGTAAAATGGGAGGGAACTATCTTGGTGAAAAACTATTACAAGTCAAACATCCATTGTAGATGATATATTCATATTTAGGCTCAGGTGAATATACATGGAGCACTTCTGGGATTATTTGAGAAAGGAAAAACTGGAAGAGAGGTGCCTCCACCGCTTCCTCAAGCGCTTCATGCGTTACCGTAAAGCGGGGGTACTGTTGCGTAATCGGAGCAACGGCGTCAAATTTAATGGCTGTGGATAATAAACTCACCAGCGGATCCACCGGCGATTATCTGATGGGAAGCTTCCCGGAGCGCGCTCCTTGGCCTGTTGGTTGTCATGTTTTGCTCTTTAGTCAGGTCCTAACTTTGGGAGCATAGAGGAAAGCTGTTAGGAACAGTGCAGTTAACCCTGTCTGAATTCAAGCTCTTGAGCTTTAGGGGTGTAATGTTGCTTTTCAGTTTTACAAACCTGCTTGTTTCCTGCTGCTGCGACTCGGCTGTTCAGGTGTCGCTGCTGAAAGTTTGTCCTCCTCTGCACGCGCTGAGCTCCCCTCGCGCGCCACTGGCTAAATCAGCTAAGCTAACATGGAAACAGATACACTGCTGAACCTGTGCTGCATTCTCGCCTTCATGAGCCCTCATTAAAATGCAAAGAAGTTTCCATAAGATAAAACTGTCTTGCAGACCCTGTTCTAGAGACAAAAAATAAATAAAAAATAACCACAATGAGCTCTTAAATTATTTTATTAACTTTAAATTACATTTATGGAACGTAACAGATGCACTTGGTTGTATTTCAAATAGTATGACTCATTGTACACAGAGTGTATACAAACAAATTTTTTCTTTTTACAGCTTTCATGACATTTCCATTTCTTTAAGTGCAGCAGTGATCAAAAAAATAACTGCATTGATATGGAAGTTCAGAGCATTAATATATATGGTGCATTGATGTAGTGTTTCGGTTTGGTGTTATCAGTCATGCAGAGTCTGTGACTTGATTTAGAGTTTTCTCAACAGTTCAGTCGTCTGATGGCGGTGGGGAAGAAGCTGTTTCTAAATCTGCCGGCTTACCTGCATCAAATTTCACTAGGTTAAAAATAAGTTTTTATTTTGAATTTAGAAAGCAGCTGCGCAGCTGGACTAAATTATACATTCTCGCTTCTTTACCTAATATAACTACATGTGTGGATCCTTTACTAAATAAGATAATTCATTTTACCAATTTCCTGTTCATAATCTTTGCCGCTGTAGGGAAGCTTCTATTGGATTTTCCAGTCAAGTCGTCTCAATCATGTTATCCCGATTCAGAAAGTTATTTAGGGAAAGGTGGCATTTAAAGCTATTAAAGGTTAATTTATCAGCAATGAAAAAGTTGAATGATGGCTAAAATCTTCACCAGTGAGGCTCTCAAATGTAAAAACATAACATTTTTGTTTGGTTAAAATGTTGGGTTGTTAGAATTCTCTGTGGAAATAAAGCCTCTATACTTTTCTGAGTAAATTCATTCATGGATCATACTGAAAAACTCGCCAAATGCCACTTGCAAAAAAGTGATGTCATTGCTGGGGGCAACTTGATTGAATATTAAGATCAGAATGAACCACCAGTGTCAATCCCATTTCTCTTCAAACTAAGCATTGTCCTTAAAGATGAAACAACCCTTGTCCCCACAGAGCAGGGTTGACCAGGGACAACCTTTAAATTCTGGGATTAGAGAGGTCAGAAAGGCCTCGCTGTGGTCTTCACCAAAGCACTTGTGAGATCAGCTTTGTAGTGCTGTTATCGCCAACACAACTACTAGTGAATACAAAGAATCAGCTGCTAACCCATAGCAGTGTGCCACCAATCTGGTGACCAACATTACAAACAAAATTAGGCCCACGTGAAAAAATTCCTCAGTTTAACAAACTTTTCTTCAAATTACTTACAAATACATGAAACTAGTAGAATACATTGTTTGGGTGGCAGAGTTATGTTAGTGGAATAAAAATAATGAAAAAAGTAAAACTGAGAAAATAGTTTTGTTGCCTGAAAAAAAGCTTAACGTGCAATTTTACACAAACGGGTAGCCGACCAATTTATTTTCTGGTTTGACTAGTTTGTGTATTCATAGGCCTTATTTTCAACTTAAAATACTTGATTAGGTTAAAGCTACAGTGTGTAACTTTTAGCGACATCTAGCGGGCAGACTGCAGCAACACGAACATCTCCCCCCCACCGCTTCTCCCCCCCCAACAGTACGGCGAGTGTTACGGGACAAAATGTCTTCCACGACGTCCGCATCACCTACCTTCTCAAGTGATGAGGTTTGTTTACATAGATAATTTTACAGATAGTATTTCATTAGTCTGTGTAGGGTATAGATTTCATGTAGACTTAAGATAATAAATATACCCGTTATTTTTTCTACATCGTTGTGACGTTTTGGCGATCTCGCAATCGCTAGTTTGTTGGCTCTGCGCTGCCGTAGCTCAAAGATGTCTGCCTCCATGGCTGCGAGACCCGCTCCTATGTAATTATAAATAACGAATTCTAAGGCAACGCAAATATTAGGGTTAAGAGGCTGAGCTCGTAGATGATGATAAATAACATAGTTATGTATAATATATTACATTTCTGACTGTATATCCCTGTAATTATTACACACTGTAGCTTTAGATATTTGGATTTTTTCATAGTTTTTCTTTTAAATTAAGTGCATCTTAACAACAAAGAAGGATATGTGGCAGGAATATACAAATTAACTTAATTACTCATTTTGAGTAACATAATAGGCATGATGCTGGTCTGTTGAGTATGAGTATGAGTAAACTATCATGCTTAACAGTCCACTGTAAGCACCCATACTTTTCTCAGTCTTTTTCCTTAGTGGTTTTAAATATTTTAAATAAGCCACGGTGGCTAAAAATAGACTCTCAGTTCCCATTACTCATACAGGACAATAATGCCAAAGAACCAGAAAAATGCAATAAAAGTTTACAATAAAAATCAAAAGCCCATCTATAATACAGTATCTTTTATAATATATGAAAAATGTATTTAAATGCTTGTAAAGCATGTGGTCTGAACTGCTTCATTTGAGCCTGGAAGAATGGAGAAACTTTCTCTTTGTTGGTGAGGGATGAATGCAGCACAAATTCAGCAGTGAGCCCTATGATGAGTTTTTCCCTTTATATAAGTCAGCAACTCATGAACAACAAGAGTTTCAGACAAGCTATAAAAATCTGGCATTTACAGCTTAAATCTGGCAGGAAAATGCCATTACCATGTTGACCTTGAATATGAAATAGCGGAACATTGCTGAGTCCAGCCTTGGTTCCATTTAAACGTGAATAAAAATTCTGCATTACTAGCACACAGGGTAATTATTCAGTTAATGAAATAAAAGAATGAGAATCATCAGTTTAAGACATTTTGTTCCCTATAAGGATCATTACATTTCTTGATTTTTTTAGTGTTTACAGACAAAGGGGAAAAAAAGTGCCGCTTTTTAAACTAAGAAAATGTTACACAATTCTTCCATGATCAAAAGTACATTTATAATGGGTTTAAATCATTACAAACTCTAGTTATTTATAAATAAATACAGTTAATAAAGTAGCTGAGGTTTTAAATATATTGTTGAAAAAGTTTTTGCATGAAGAGATGATTGTTCAATATGACACCTGTAAGAGATCCCGTTAAGTTTCAGCCACTTACAAAAAGGGTTAAAAGGTTAAAAAGTAGGGATGCACGATATTGGGATTTTGGCCGATATCCGATATGCCGATATTTTAAAACTCATGTAGCCAATAACCGATATCGATACTGATGTTAAAGCTGGACAAAAATAAGTAGTCATTGAAAATAGCAGTTTTGTTCTCCATTTCTGACACTTTGAAAAATAATATACTCAAATATATTTTCATATGCTGATATCAAATAGATTTTTAAAAACGCGGTATCGATCTATTTTACTTTCAAAATCTTGTGAAATTTCATCGTTCCGTTACAAACTCTCGTGATATTTTGCAAATTCTTGTGAGATTTTGTTAGTAAAATAGATCGATACCGCGTCAATATATCAACATATAAAAATATGGCAACATTTGGTGAATTTTCAGGGGATTTCGTAGCATAACGATGACATATAGCAATATTTCATTAGTAAAAGAGATTGATATGGTGTTTTTAAATGGCAATATATCAGCATATGAAGATATTGTGATATTTTAATGTATCAATATTTTTTCCCTCGTCTTTAGAAGTTTTTAAGTCTGTAAAAAAGAAGTTTTTGAGGAAGAAGAAGAAGTAGTATTTTATTTTTATTTTTTTAGACTTTAGAAACTCAGAAGCTGATCAAATATCGGGTTAAATATCGGTGGGGTGGCCGATGTCCGATATTCAGTTTTAAGGCCGATACCGATAGGGGGCAGATTATATCGTGCATCCCTATTAAAAAGGAATTTATTTTATTACTCACACATCATCAACACGCTTCATTGTGATCCTGTAACATGATATTTGACTCCTCAGGTAAACAATATATCTAGACCAGTGGATCTCAGATGTTGAATACATTTCCCAAGTACTACAATCTTGACAAATGATTCCTTAAAATAGTACTAAAAATATGTGAGACATTTATGATTTAGACCCTTAAGAAAGGAGATTTTTTTTTTTTTTTTTTATCTATTACCAGTTTAAGACATTGAATGGTGTGTCCTATGCTGGTTTTTTTAATTTCCGAGTTTGATAAATTACCGAAATCGCTGTAGAAGTTGGAAATTAATCAGGAAAATAAAAAGATTCCTTAACAACCTGACCTCAAAATATCCAACATGGCCACTTTGAATGTAATTTATACTGACAGCTGTGCTTCAAATCTATCTCACAAGAACAGTCTGCCTCATCAACATGCTACAATGTGTGAAAGAGCTAACATAATGAGCTTATATTTTTAGTAACCTTCATACATTTTGGTGATTATAGTACGTTGCAAACAATTCATATCAAAACTCTTTAGTAAAACATAGGATGCCTTAAGTACCTCGAGTGTAACTTGTACTGTACTACAGTTTGAGAAGCAAACTTCCAAAGTCCTGGACTTATTGTGGAGCTCTTTTCCTTGGCTTTTCAGTAGGAATAAGTCTAGAAACTCTTTTTGTGATGTTTCTGGTGCCTTTGAAAGAGAAACAGACCCACAGCATCACAGTCAGTCACTGTATCTGACAATGTATGAGGTGCCAAATCCAGCAGAAAACCTCACCTTGGGGATTATCTAATAAAAACCTTGCTTCGGTTTCTCCATAGATGTTGCAAATTTAATGTTTTTACATTTTTTATTGTATAGCAGAAAAGCTTGTATTCTAGCATTATTCATAAGATGGATTACCTTTGGACTTCATTGCAACTTTTCAACAACAAAAAAAAAGAGCTTTGGGGATTTTCTCTGTACCTTTCACCCCTCCATGGTGAGATGTTCACTATTTGGCCTAGTGATCTGTGTGTAACAGAAATGGGCATCTGTATCTTTATGGGTTTATTTTACTAACACATTATATTGTCCAAGGAAATCTGGTAAGCTTAAAAAGTAAAAAATAAAGATTTTCAGATGTTCCAACTATTGTGTCATCTATGACTTATAT